ATGCTTTTCCTACTATAACACTCTGCCTCCCCGGTGAAGGAAAGTGAAGTCAAATGAACTCTGAGACTGCAAGCCTGGGGTACAGGAAGACCTTACGATTGTGCACAGTGGTCAGGAAACTGGGAAAGGGGACCTTCCATAGAGGAAGACTTCAGGATTTTTGTTTTTGTTTTGTCTATGAATTCTCCAAGTTAAAAAAAAAACCTTGTAAGCAGGTGGGGTGATAACTCAGTAGGAATCTCCTATAGGCACCTGGATATCTATGGGGAGAGGGGATGAGGACAGTGATGGATGCATATTGCAAAGTCATCTGCAGACAAGGCACGTGCCCGAAAGCCATGGACAAGTTCCTCTAGGAGTGAAACACAAGGGGCACAGGACTGAGTCTTTTGGGAGATCCATGGCTAATGGCAGTGGGGCAAGGGAAAGAGAAGGGGAAACAGGTCCCACCTACATGCACAGATGGTGACATGCACACATGGCCACTCTGGGCTTAGCTGCTTCTCAGTGCCAGCTGAGATAATCCTCCTTCTGTTCCATGCTTGAAGCTTACTCATTTTTCAAAGCACAACTCAAATTTCCAGAACCCCTAATAGAATTTACACTCCTGCCTATCTCTGTAATCCCCATAGTGCTTAGCATAATGTTTGGCACATCATAGGTGCTAAATGAATATTTGTTGGGCTGAACAGAACAATTAAAGAGACAGAAAAACTATTTGGAAACAACAGTTAAGTATTTTTTCTGAGCCATATCTTCTTCATTTGTGAAATGGAATAATGATTGTTGGGATTAAACGAGATATGTAGGTAAAACATTTAGTACAGTACCTGGAACATGGTTGTTCCTTAACTGGTAATTATTATTATTAGCTGGCAGCAATCAAGAAAGTAGTTAATAATGGAAGGCTAGAAATAGAATTTCAGGAAAGAAGGAATGCTCAACAACCCCAAAGCCCTTTGTGTGTCACAGTTGGCTTTCTCCCTCTTTCTACACACACACAAAGGTACACACACGTGCTAGCACGCACGCATGCACACACACGCACAGGCTCAGGATGAAGGATGTCAAACAAAATATGAAACTCCTCTATTGATAACCCACAACTTTTGGATTTTTTTTCCCCCCTGAATATAAGAACAGATTCTTAGTAATCTAAATTTGGTCCTCTAGTGGATAGTTGAAATGACCTTCATGGCTGGTTCCATGATTTTAACATCAAAATTGTTGGAAATTTTGATTTACAGCTAGATAACAGGCCCACCTGTATGCTTTGGTTTTTATTAGATTCTCTAAGTAAAAGTGTGTGGTTTATCCCATAGTTTGGAGGCTGCTTTGGGAGGGAAATACAGTACCCAAGAGCAAGCATCCTATTGTCCAGCCTATCACAGACAGAAATCACAGTTCCCTGACACAAACACCCTCTGTGATAAAACAAAGCAGCTATGTGGCAGGCCTTCCCAACAGAGAATTCTCTCTACTCGGTGGAGATCTGAGGCGGGCTGCGGATAGAGAACAAAGACCTGGCATCTGGAGGCACAATTGGGTGAAAGGGTCCAGGATTTTCAATGACCTGACAGCTCTCTTTTATTAAAGCATCTCCCTCCTGGTCAGCAACTTTCTCCTCACCTTTGGGCCTGAGAGCACCCAAAGGCCAGAGTTGATCAGCAAGAAAGAGGGCTCCAGGAACCAAGCCTGCTGTCTGGAGCTGTGGCCCAGCTCCCTTCGGACTGGCTTCCCTGGAGGCCAGGCCCAGTGGACCCTTGCTGCCTGTCCGTCTTCTGCTCTCTGCCATTCAGGCCTCACATCACTGAGAAGGGCAAAGTCAGCCCTGTCGCCTTCCCCTCCAAAGTCCAACCTCTTAGGCTCTGCTCTCCTCCCCTTATTCCCCTCCCCCACCCCTCCCCTCCCCCTTCCTTTCTCAGGGCATAAGGGACCTTTTCTATTTGCAGAGCCTAAAGAAGCTGGTTGCCAAGGTGACAGGAGCAGGAACAGCAGGGAGTTTGCTGTGGGGGAGGGGCTTTGCCCCCAAACAGCTGTCAGTGGGAGCAGTCCCAGCTGGGACTAGAGGGTTTGCCTGCTCTGGGAGGAAATGGGCCCCCAGGAGAACACATTCTTCTCTGCTGTATGCCCCCCACTGCCCCCACCCCCCACAAGTCTCCACTCGTTACTTTCCCTGGGGGCAGCCAGCCAGCCAGCTCAAAAAATGCTCCAATAACAAACAAAAAACGGGCACTCTCCATCTCTCTTTCTCATGCACAAGCGCGCTCTTCTCCTTGGCTCCCTGATCCCTCGGTTCATTGACAGCGAGTTGGCTGGGCAGGAGGCCAGAAGTCACCTCTGCCTGCGGAACTGTGGACCCCAAGACAGGTGCTGCTCCAGGCTGTCCCTGCCCTCCCCCCGCACAGCCCCCAATCAGGTCATAAGAATTATTTCAGTCTTTCTTGTTCCAGAGGCCAGGAGGATCTGCCACTCCTAAAACTTCCCCAGCTGCCTTCCATTTGGTAGGTGGGTGTGGGGGAGTGGAACCACAGGGCTTACAGAGAGGAAAGGGTGGGAGAGAAAGGAAGAATAGCATGGGACTGTGGGAGGCAGGAATAATGCAAGGCCCACTGATTTGTGTCTCTGGGGAGAGGGTCTTTGTGGTACTGCAGCTCACAGCTGCTCCATGGAAAATTCTGTAGGGCCAGTGGCCTCTGTACTGCATTACAGCCATGTACTGTTAGTCTCAGGCCAAAACCTAGGTCCCTGGACCTCAGCCTGTAACTGACTGGCGTTTATGTTTATATGGCCCCCCCACCCCAAAGAGGAGAGCCCTCCACCAGACTCCGCAAACTCCGAACAGTCTTAGAACCCCCAGGCTCTTTGAGCTGTGGCTCAGGAACAGGAAGGACATAAAGGCCCTGCATTACTGTAAGAACTGAGAGGATGCTCTGGCTTGAGATGAAGAGCACAGGATTTGACTCAGCCAGTTACAGAGGTGGATCCCAGTCAGGCCACTTACTACTCAGGTGACCCTGGGTAATGTATGTAGTAAGTTCTTGGGAAACTTCTCTGAGTTTGTTTTTTAATCTGTAAAATGGATAAAAATACCTACCTTACAGGATTCTGTTGAAGGTTTAGAGAAGTGTTGTGCACAAAAATGCCTAGCATGTCATCTATCACATAGTGGAAATCCCATAAGGGCTAGTCCCCTTTCTGTCCAGTTTTCTTGAGACCTCAACGTTGCCTAGCAGCTGTAGGAGGAACCCAAGAACTGGTCATTCTTTGGAATTTTGGGGGCTGGCTTAGATGTAGAGAGAGGTTATATTTGGCCTGGGCAGAAATGGGGTTCTCAAGAAGTCCTGCTCTAGGGTTTATAGGTTGAATGAGAATGTAGAAGGGGTCCTAGCTTTAGGCCAAGCTGCTATCAACACATTGTAAGATCCCCCAGTCTTTACCCTTCTGAGACTCAGTTTCTTTTTCTGTAAAACGGAGAGGACCAATCTCTAGAAAAAGCAATGCCAGACAGTGAGAAACATCTGGAACCACAGGGCAGTGAGGTCTCTGCAGGGAGTGCCTTCCACAGCTCAGTAGTGACTACTGGAAGGCAGCGACTGACCCTTTGCCCCAGGTGATTTCTGAAACCTCAAAAAGGTAAATAAAGAACTTTCACTCAGTTTCTTCACGACCCAGTGTCATATGCTCTTACTTCCTCTGGCTGGTTGGAATAGCTTTCCCTACTCTGGCTGTCAGGTCATTTGCTCATGCTTTGAGGCTCATGTGCCATTTCCTTTGAGAGGCAGCATCTCTGACCCACCCTGCTGGCAGTGAGTTGACCATGTGTGCCCAAACTGTACCTCGTCCTTACTCCTCTAATAGAATTTATCAAATTGAGTGGATTTGCTTGTATGTCTAGCTGTCTCCTTTTGACTGTACACTCCTTTGGGTAAGAAATCATATTTTGATCATCTTGGTTATTCTAGTGACAAGCGCATAGTAGGTTTTCAAGAAAAAAAATGCAGGTTAGTTTGGATGGTAAAATGGTCCGGATGAGGACAGAGGGTCAGTGGTTGTCTCAGGGATGAGACCAGGGTGATTCTCTCCTAAATGCAAAGCCATGTGGTCCACCACTGTATTTATTTCTGTGGTATAACAGCGTGGGCTTGTTCCCTAGACTGATAAATCTGGCTTCTAGGGCTCTTGGCAGATTTTCCCATTAAAGATTGCCTATAATAGGCAGTGCTGGGAGAATTTTAGCAGGGAGGGAAAGGAGTCTAGCCAGGGCATACTGACTCATCCCCTTCACAGAACTTGCCTCACAAGTAATCAGTTGGATTTTTTTTAATCTGCTAGAATTTATTCTCAAGTATCACCCTCACTGGACAGGTTGTCTTGGCTCCTCTCCTCAAGGCTAGATAGCTCCTCTGTTTCTGATAGTGCTCAGAGCTTAGATGAACTTCAGCACTCAACACACTATATTGCACTGTACTCATCTGTCTCCCCAGCCAGACTGTGCCCTCCTCAGAGGGCAGGGCCCAAGTCTCATTGATCTCTGCACACCCAGAACTGGCAATGCGATTGGCAAATAGTGTCAACAAATGTCTGCTGTATGGTCAGAAAATAGACTTTCCACTTCCCCGTCTCCCTGGGTGATTCATACATGTTTCTGGCTAGCCCCTGTCCTTTTTGCTGAGCTTGGAGAATTTCAAAGTAGTCCAACTGCCAACCTCCACTCACTCAAGGTTAAGAGCTATGACTGTAGACTCCAGGATTCATCATTGTGCCCTTGTGAAGAAAGACTTGTTTATTTCAACTGATGTAGCTTCCTTCCTTAAAGTGAGACTAGAAGCATGAAACACAACCAGGAGCTGATGTACACCTCGGGACTGGGAGAGAGGAGAGACAGACAAGTGACTGGTATTTTAGCAAGTCCATGGGAAAAAGGAGTTTGAAAGTTTCCTCCTGACCCATAGTCCTCAGTTTTCTGGGCTAAGATTCCTTCCTCCTGGTGCCCTTACCTGGTGCAATGAGGGGGTGGGCAGCCACAGCAGGAACCGTCCGGCTGAGCCCAGCCCGGCCCTCCATGCTCCCTGGCACACTGGTGTTGCCATCTCCTTTCTTGAGTGGCTCCATCACACTGTCAGTTATGCCAGGCTTGGCACCTGCAGGGGAACCCTGAGCAGTATTTCTGCCCTGTGATGGGGTAGGCAGAGGCTGGCTACCACCAGGCGTGGGTTTCAGGGCCAAGCTGGGCAGGACAGGCTGAGTGGGGGTAGGGCCCGAGGCTGCTGCAGCTGGTGTCTGCTGTGTTCGGAGGGTCAAGTTCTGTACCTGGAAAAGAGGGATCTATGGGAGTCTAGAGAATGCGGGTAGGAGCAATGCCAACACACAACTAAGAGGAGGAAAGAGTTAGGGATGGACCCAGGAATGGCTGAACAGGATAGTGAGTTGAAAAATAAGAAAGAAAGAAACAGAAAGAGTTAGGGGCTGAAAGAGGAACCAGGAGCAGGTGGTTTCTGAAGACCACAAGAAAGATCACTAGTGATTGGACCCATCAGCAGAAGAAATTGAATTCGGAGGGGGATTATTGCCCAGGCTGCGGTAGGCAGGGCAAGGGAGGACAGGCTCTCCACGTTCTGGTACTAACCCTCCGCCCCCAAACTATCAGAATTGGATGCATACCACGCAGAAATAATTCCAAGATATAGCAGAGCATGGGGCTTTCCACACTGGAAAAGGCCAGGGCAAAATTAAAAGTTAATTGACCAGCAAGGTCCACGAGGCAAAGGACGGTCTTGTGCTCAGAAGAAGGTTAACGCCAGGCCTTTCTGAGACAGCCTTCATGCTAATTCAGTTTGGTTCCTGGTGCCCTCTGCTGGACGCATGGAGGTTGTACCAGACTTTGAAAAACTTGCTACCTAATCCTCTCTGCTCCGGGTCCCCATTCTGGACATGGGGGTGGGGGAGATGGGAGCAGGAGGGTGTTCCTTTCCCTGGCTGCCCACGGAGTCCTCACAGCCACAACAGCATCTGTGTGCTCCCAGCAGAAGGTAGGAACCCTGGACTCATCTTTGCTCCCTCTTCCATGCCATTTTTCCTGATTCCTAGAAGTGCTAGCGTGTATAATCAGAGTGGGGTTTTCCGCTTATGAAGCAGCAACAACAGAATAAGTTACAGTGGGGAAGGTGTAAGGCACAGAAGGTTGCACTGACCACCCATTACTGGCAATCACGCTAGCCTCAGCAAGCTGCTCTCTGACTCTTAACCTATGTTTGAGGGAACAAAACAGTCCAGAGGGTCTGAGGACATCTGGATGGAAATTAAAGAGCAAGTCTAGGAGTACTGGGATATCCTGTCTCCCACCTGCTTTCCTAGAAGATCCCAGTCTTTCCAAAGGTTCAAAGCTCTTCCAGGGCTTATGCCCAACTCCAGCATCGGTCCCCCTCTACAGTGGTGCCCAACCCCCTGCCCTCCCACAAGCATGGAATCCTCACCTGGGCAGGGGTGGGGGGCCGGGCGGGGGAGCCAGTGCCGAGCTCAGGCTGCACAGTAGCGACGGTGGCCGTGGGCGTGAAGATGAGCTGAGGGGACAAAGGAACAGTGCCGCCTAGGCTCCTAGCTACCTGCACCAGGTTACCTGGCTGGGCCTGGAATCACAGGAAACGAGGTGCCTTTTACCTGCCCAATGTGGGCTCAGCCACAGGGCAGAACAGTTTAGCCAGGGAGCAATTAGGGGAAGCCTAGGGAGTAGAAATAGGGAGGCAAGAAAGGGAGGGGACTAAGGGGACCACCTGAAACTCTCAAGAGGCTTGTAATATCCTGACCCAGGCTGGACAGTGAAGGAGCGGGGGAGCCGCTCTGGGGCTGCACCCAAGTCAAGTGTCCTCCAGAACCTCTGTGAAGGGACTGTATTCTCAGGACACCCTGGAGTCACTATCTGCCCAGCACCCTGGGGAACAGGGATCTTGGGCTGACAGATGCCCTAGGACCATTTCCAGGTCTAACCACTTCTGACCCAAGAGCTGGTCAGAACAAGACTGTCTTCCAGAAGGCATCAAATGAGATGTATTTGTTTGGTCATTTTCTAGTCAAATTTAGATCTGGGGGTGCCTAGAGACAACAACAGTAGAGGAACCAGACTGCCTGGAGCTGTACTGGTGTCTGAGCCTCATCCTGCAGGGATGCAGGTTATATGGTGTTCTCGGCGTGACACCCCGGTCTCATGTGTGTCTAGCTCTGTATCAGTGTGAATGTGCTGGTGTCACGACAGGCACTTTTCCTAGAACTCAGTGATGACACACCGTGCTCATTCCTCTGCACATGCATGCCCTGTTTCAGGGAGGGAGGCAGACAGGTGTAAGGATCCCAGCCGGGGCTGCTGAGTAGGACATGGGGATGAGTAAGCTGAAAACAAAGGCAGGTCTGGGTGGTGTCACAACGTGGCTGTCCGGGTCCTCAGGGAAATGGAAATCTATTTCATGCTGTGTCTAAGAGGCTATTCCCTGGGACTGGAGATGTGCCTCACACAATGAACTCAGAGCCAAGAACAAAAATGCAGAAGCAAGATTAGAAAAGCTCCAAGTGTCAAGTTCTGGCCACAAGAGCACAGGTAGGGGAGGACTATATTGTCTTCAGGATGGTGTCTAGGGGTTGAGGGAAGAAATCTTCAGAATGCGGGGTATGAGCTATGATTCACAGTGATCTGAGCCAGACATGGAGCTGTATGTTATTGCCTCCCAGAGAGTATGCTGCCGTTCTCCTAGGAAATTCATCCAAATCTTAGGAACCTGTTAGGTTCCTATGGACCTCTGCAGTCCTTAGGGACAGGTGCAAAGGAGAGATTCTAGGTATGCATGTCCAGGGCTGGTGCTACCCTGAGTACACTCTGCCCAAACATGCTCACCTGATCCTGATTAGAATAGGGTCCCAGTGGGGAGAGCAGTGGAGGTGGCAGCATGCCCTGAAGCTGGCTGCCACCTTCACCACGGGTTGGAATGCACCTTGGCCCTGAGCTAGAGGTGACCAGTCCTTGCAAGGACTGTCACAGTGGGGGAAGATCCCATTTCTATAGAGCACATGGACATCAGTGTCTTTTTATCTTATATGCCGGAGTGTCCAGGACCACTTGGGCATGGGCCTTTGCATTGTGTACCCTAATCAATTTTGAGGAGTAATTTCTGATAAGAAGGGGACAATTCTGTTTCACTCTAGGAGAAGGAAAGGAGGCATCCTGGATAACTTTCTCTATTTCAGTCTGGAATCCCACCCTTCCCTGAGTTATTGGGCCAGTGCCAAAGCCCCACTCAGCCTTCCAGGCCCACTCTTCCTTAGTCCACCCCTTATCTCGTGCCCTCTGTCCCCTAGTACTTCTTTCCCACCCTTCTCTAATCTCCCAGCCCCCAGCTATGTTGCCTTTGTCCTCCCGGCCCCCGTGAGCCATGGCCCAGGCTGTGGGTACTCACCATCTGTGCCCTTAGATACATCTGTGCTTGGCTCGCAGTCAGGGCTGGAGAAGATGTGTTGCCCAGGAGCACAGCCTGCTGGGCAATCCCAGAGGCTGTTGCTGAGTTGACACTCTGAGCCCTGTTGATGAGCTGGGCTGCTGCTGGGGAGGCTGCCAGATTGATCTGATGAGAGAGACACGTGCAATAGGAAACAGGAGGTTGTGGTGAAGTGTGTCCCCCGCATCCATTTGTTTCTCTCCCCCTCTTCTGTTCCTTGGTTTACTTAGCCTTCTTTAGGACCAGCTCCGGTCCTTGGGCCTTGGAGCTTCCCCCAGCACTGCCCCATCACTGGCCTACGTGCAGAGTTGCAGGGAGGATCCACTGTAGAGAGAACTGAGCTATCAACAGAGAGCTTTGACATTGGAAAAGTGATGAGGGTTATGAATATAAGGGTTAGAAAGAGGCATGCACTTTTTTCTTCTGTCAAGAGCAACAGATTCTAGCCATGATGCTACCTGGCTAAGGATTCGCCACAGTGGGGTCTGGGATTCATGAACATTTTAGGCAAGGAGGAAGAGGCTGGTCCCAGAGCTGTGGGCTTTGCCTGCCACTTGCCCATCCTACTCACCGAAGATGACTGGGCTGGAGCCTGTGCAGACACACTGCTGCCTGAAGTGCTCCCTTGTCTGTTGGCCACCAGGCTTGCCTAGAAAAGAACAAACTCCTGTCACTAGAGTCCCAGTCCTCTCCTAGTACTTCTTGGGCTCTCATCTTCCAAAGGAAGCACTCTAGGACAGTGGTAAGGAGAGCAGCTTCCAGAGTCAACCCCCAACCTGCTTAATCTGTGTGACCGTGAGCATGTGCCCAGTGTCCTCCTTCATCAGATGAGATGATAATAGTGCCTACTTGCAGGACGGCTGAGAAGACTGAATGAGGCAGAGCACTGACACTAAGCACTCTGGCTGCTAGCTATTCCTATTGCCCAGTGTTTCCAGTTCTCCTCAGCCCGCCACTCCAGCCCTCCATCACACCTGGCTCAGGGGCTCCCATGCTGAGAATTTACACACACCGTGTGGAGTGTCCAACCTGCCCCTCTCCTCTTGCCAGCTTCTTCTCATCCTTCAGGTGTCAGCTTCAATGTTAGCTCAGCAGACAGGCCTTCCTGGCCACCCAGAGTAAGGTCATCCTCTTTATCATTCAGTCATGGTGCTTTTCACAACTTAGATAATTAAATATTTTGTTTCTTTGTCTATTTTGGTTCTGGTTTACTTGCTATCTCCGTACTATCAGCTCCAAGAAGACAGGCTCCACAGTCTACACAGTACCTGACATGAAAGTTGCATATAGTAGCTACAAAAAGCATTTTGTTGAATGGGTGAATGAATGAATGAATGTGTTCTCAGCCACCAGGAGGAGAGAGAGCAACGACAGACAGATAAGCTGAACGGGCAATGCTCTTCTCTGGTGAACGCCTCCTTAGAATCCACTGTCCCTTCCCTAGTAGTGCAGTGATGTGGTTGAGAAAGGGGCTCCCCCAGTACTTCTTCTCTGCAGTATTCCAGCCGCTCCCCTCACTAGCCATGTGACCTTAGGCTCTGCTCCTCACCTGTCAGGAGGAGATGATGGCAACAGTGCCTGCCTCACAGGGCTCTGTGAAGAGGCAGGAAGAGAGCGCGCTGAAGCGCACATGCAGTGCCCGCCTGCTCTCCCTGCGCCTCCACAGCCATGACAGCGACAGTGAGCACCTGCGTCCTCGCCATGCCCACTCTCACCTGCTGCACGGCCGCCAGGCTCTGGAGCTGGGCGCTGCTGAGGTGCTGCTGCTGAAGGGCTGCCGTCTGCAGCATGAGGTGCTGCTGCTGCGCGGCGTACATCTGCTGCAGATACTGAGCTGCGGTGCTGGGCTGCCGGTGCAGGGCCTGCTGGATCACCTGAGTGGGCGGGAGACAGGGGACATGCTGTTGCCTGCAACTGGCCACAGAGCATGCCCCTTCTGCAGCAATGCCTTGTCAACCCCAGCCCTCCCTGACTGCTCAGAGAAGGAAGGACACCAGGACCGGTGGCCATTCTCCAGGGTGTGGGAGGACAGTTGTGGCAGAGCTTTCTGAATGTCTACCTTGTCCACCCTGCATCTCCCTTCAGCTCCTCCCCAACAGGGCCTGCTCCTGTGTCGGCCACCCTAGTGAGGAGTCCAAGCAGCACAGCAATGCTCTAACCAACTCTTGGGGCAGCAGGGAGGCTCCGGGAGACTGTCCCATGCCAGGCTTATTAGGCACCCCTCCCCACACCACTCTTCAGCCTCAGAGGAGGTGAAGCTCAACAAGGTGGCGGGAAGAAAGAGCCACATCAGAAGGGGGGCCTGTCCCGGCTTTAGCGATAGCCAGCCGAACCAGAACGTAGGCAAACACAACATCCTCTCCTTGAAGGCCAGGGCTTCAAGGCAGACTTGGTGCAGCTCCCAGGTTCTGCCCACAGCTTCCTGGAAAGTCCTCAGTCCCTCAGAAGAAGGTTGCCTTGGCCTTGCAGAGCAGGCCAAGGCCACAGGAATGCTACATTTTTCTTTTATTCTTTCCCTCCCTCTCTCTTTCTCTCCAATGCTCTTTTTAGCTGCTGTCTCCCATCCTCTGGCCTTACTGCTTCTTCCCTCTTTCCTGAAGGGATTGTCTGAGCAGCAGTCTAGAGGAAATGACAAAAGGCAGCTCTCCCATCCTCCCTCACCCCAGGAACAAAGAAAAGTGAACACTTTCCCCCAGCCCTAAGATCCCTGTCTTCTTATGAGGCCCAGAGACACATCTCCTCCCTTCTCCTTACTGGCTGCCCTCCTTTCCTCCCTTCCCGGTTGGTGCCCCACACTCGCCCCAGCCACGCTTCAGTCTTCTTCCTGCCCTTAGCTCTGCTGAGTCCCTGGACACAGACAGGGCTGCTCCCAACCCTGGGCTCTGCCCCAGCAAGTGAGCCTCTGGTTGGGAGCTTAGCATGATTTCTAGGGCTGGTGGCTCTGGGACAAAACAACCTCTGGGCTCAGATCTGGGGTTCTGTGAAAACAGGCTGTCATCACAGATTCTCCATGGGTTCTGGTGTCTCCCCAGACACACCCATCCCATCCCAACTCTTCCACATGTTTCCCTCAGATTCCAATCCTCTTCAGGATCTCCTGAGATCCTGTTTTATATGAACTCTATTCTTTTTATCCCCTGTTCTCCCCAGAATTATTTGTTCTTATGCCTTTTGCCTAGGCTTTTCTATGTTCCTTAGACTCCTGAAAGTGACCTCCCCAGCAGTTCATCCAGCAGTAGTTGAGAGGCTGTGACTCTTCCTCACTAGAGGATATAAATGAACAGAAACAAAAAGAGCCCCTAATGGTTCTGTTTGGGTATGATCTTGGGTTACTCTACTTGCCAGAGCATAAACCCCAAATCCCTTTTGCCTAAAGTTGTGATGAGTGGTAGAAGGTTGGCAGATCCTAATGTCAGCTGCTGGAAACTAGAGCAAAAACACTCATGCATGAAGGGGACAGGGGAAGAGGCCAGGGTGGGGTCAGGAAACATGGTTGTATTAACTATGAGGTAGAGATAACTGGGAGAGGGAAGAGTCCAGAGTATCTGATGGTGTCTTCTGTAATTAGATTTTTCAGGCCCTCTCACTGTCTGCTGTGGCTTCTCCCACATTCTTTTATCTGGGCCTAGGGCCAAAGCAGGATGATGTCACTTTTCTAGTATATCCAAACTGTGATAGCAAAGTTACTTAGTGTAAATACTTCTCGTCTGTGGTCTCTCTTTTCTGCCTGTATTATCTGGGAACCTCAAACAGACACTAATGATTAAGAACACAGGTTTGGGGTGAGTTAGGCTCAATTTTTTTTTTCTTTTTGTCTTTACTTGAATGACCTTGGATAAGTTGCTGCCTTCTCTGGGCCTCAGTTTTTCCAACTACAGAATTATGCATAATAATAGCTATTCTCACAGCTGGAGGAGAAGCAGATAAATGTGCAAAATGCTGAGCACATTGCTGGGCACACAGCGGGTGGCAACACATGGCCGTGATCACAGTTTGGAACAATGTGCAATCACCTGGAAGGCCTCATGGGGTAACACTTTGCAAACTGCTGCTTTAGGAAAGAAGATAAAAAGCTGCAAACACAAAGGATTGTCTTTGAAAGCTGTCATTGAAATGCTGTCTTTAGATTTGTTTCTTACAGGGCAATGGTCATTCAGATAGTGGAGTTGGGTTGTGGCTGAGCCTATTCATTGTTTCTGTTTGTTATTTTTACTTGTCTGCCTTTCTACTTTCACACACCTATCCTCCCAAAACAGCACTCTGGGAGCTGAACCATCAGATAAGAAAGGAGTTTTTCTGATCTGCTAAGCATTCTCCCTCTCTCCAAACTTCCTTGATTGGACCCATCTTGCTTTGCTCCCCCTCCTCTAACTATGCACAAGTATATATCTACTAACTTACTCCATACACCTGTTCCAGAGTCAACATCCAGGTGATCTCCCCAGGCCATGCCAACCCCTCCTCCTGGCTAGCCCTGTAGATGATCAAAGAACACAATTCTTGAATCGATTCAAATCTCACCTGCACAGTCTGCCGATCAGGAATACCACTGTACACAGAAATCTGGGGCCCAGTGGGGCGGCCACTTCCACCACTGCTGCTATTGTTACAGCCAGCGCTGCTACTGGCCCCGCTGGTACTGCTTGTGACACTGGTGCTGCTGGATGTATGTGGGACTGGCAGCTCATTCTCCATGGCCTATAGAATGGCACTGTCAGGGCGCTCAGATGGCAGAAGAGCAGGCTGATGCTAAGGGGGAAGAGGCAGAAGTGAAGTGTTTAACAAATGCTTACTAAAGAACACCATATATGCATCAGCTTTCCAAACAGCCTGAGGTGGGGCCATTTGTGAACTGAGATCTTGGGACACACTTACCATCAGAGGACAGGGCCAGGCTTGGTTCACTAGGCAAGATTTAAAATTAAATCGGGCAAGGTCTGCCCAATTCTAAAGCTTATGACCTGTTCATTCTGCCACAGGAGATAAACACCAGTAAAGGAGGCAGATTTCCTCTAACCTTCTCCTTAGGAAGCATCTCTCACCCCATCAACCTCTTCCTCTCTGGTGTGGGGAAACCGAACATCAGAGAACTTATTTGTCCATATTTATGCAGCCAGCTAGTGAAAGAAGTAGGATTAAAAATCTAGAGAGAACAGAATGAGAGAAAAAGGCAAATAAGGAGGCAGTAAAATAAACAGTAGTGTTTGTTTTGTTTTGTTTTTTTTTGTTTTCAAAGCCAGGAGAGCTCCAAGTATGTTTGAAGTCTCCGTTTTCTTCATTATGTGCTTACTGAGTGCTCTCTGAATCTAACGCTGAGCAGGCTACTTACTACATTTAGCAATTTGGTTAAAATCTCAGGTTTTGGACTCAGAAACACCTGGGTTTGAGTCCTGGTTCTGCCACTTTCTAGCTGGGAAACCTTGGAAGTCACATTTGTCTGACTTTCTGTTTCTTAATATGTTAAAGGTGATAGTATGCGGCTTGTTGGGAGCATAAAGAAAAACGGTGTACGAAGTGCTCAGCCGTGTTAAGTATATACTGAGTGCTCCATAAAAACTGGCTATTATTCCGGTTTTTAATATTGTCCCCAGCCTGGTCCCCGCTGTCCAGTTCCAATAGATCAGGCTTCTCTCAAGATGGAATTGGCTGAGCCTCTTGGAACCTCCTATCCCAGTCAGTTAGGAGAGCCAGAAATTCCTTCAGGGACCACCCCACGGTTCACAATCAGAAGTGGAAGGTGGACATTCCTTGAGACTATGTGCTTGGGAGTGGAGTGGGGCTGGGGAAGAAGGAAAGGGTAGTGGGAAAGACACACCCAGATCCTAGTTCATATTCCTCTCTTTTTCTTCTTTCATGCTATTCCTAAAATTCTTATTTCTATTTACAAGATTTTCCTTCTACCCATTCCTTCCTACATGTAAAATAACATTTCTTTGTCAGCCCATCATAGACATTCAATCCTTTGCTTACAGATTGTATCAATTTAATACATGAAGAAAATATGATTTTTCACATTAATGAAAGCATTGATTAGTTCAAAGACCCAAAACAGTCATTAATGTCCTGCTGTCATCTCCCCAGTGCTGCTCAGTGTGGGGTTTGTTCCTCAGGCTGCTTTCTTCAGACTGGGTGGGTTTCATTGTGGGCTGAAAAAAGTGTGGGCGAAGGCTGAAAGACAGGAATGTTGGGGGTCAGGAAACCCAAGCCACTCCCAGGTGGCAAGCAGCAAGTTGCTTATGGCTTCCAAGGCAGTGTAACAGTCTGCGAACTGAGCTCACGACCTGGGTTTTTCAGCAGTGATTGCTCCTAATGTTTGTACTGCTCTTACTGCCACAGGGCAAAGGCTCTTGTCCATGAATTCCCTTTGTTCTAAGCTGCATTCAGTTCTGGGCCTCATTATGTCTTCTCACTCGTTAAGAATGCTTATGATGATAATAATGATGCAGGAATCAATGAAACAGCAAAGTCAACAAGTATTTCCTGTGCCCTGCTCTGTTGAAATCCACCTTGTCTTATGTTCTAGGGAGGGAAATAGAAAGTGGTAGAAGGCACAATTCCTGATCTTGAAGAAACTGAAAAACTAGTTGTAGAGATGGGGCTCAATTGAAACTTTAAGGATCACCAAGCAACAAATTAATAAATGATAGTTCCGTTCAAACACGGAATACTCTACAAAATCCCAAGGTTCAATGCTTCACCTCCCTTTCCCAAAATGTTGACCAGAATTGGGTTTCAGTTCTTGTTTTCCATCCCACTCTAGGAAATCTCAACTGAAGTACTTATAAACATTAAAAATAATATAGGAAAATAGGGCAGCAGCCACAGCGAAGTAAGAGGATAGGATAATCCACATTCTAGATGATCAAGCCTCAGCTCTGTTTGTTTTCCTCTGGCAGAAGCCAGGGTGGATACTGTGCACAGTGTATACTCAACTCTTGCTGAGAAACAAAACAAGATGAAATTCTAAAGAAAGCATGGCACTCCTTTACAGAAATGCTGCACTGGCAAGGGCAGCCACTGCTCCCCACGCCGGGGAGAGAGACTGACCTAGTAGCCTGGGGACACAGGCCCAGTGCACTTGCTGAACTCTCCTGCCCACTGTCTCCCCCCTTCTGCGGCAAGCATGCCCTTCCCTTCTCTCTTCCCTCTCATTCTTGGCACCCTTGCCTTTCCTGTCTCACTAGCTTTTGCTCCTCCAGCCCCTGGCTTTGCCACTCTTATTCCTGCCCCTCGTCCCTACCCTCTCTTACACCTGTGCCCACACTCGCCCTCTCTCCATTGGTCTCTGACAGCTGCTTCTGTGTGCTCACACTCACCTTGCTATGCTTTGGCTCTCTTGAATTCCAGCATGTTCTCCCCCTCACTCTTGCTTACTCTCCTGCCCTCTTGCCCTTGTGTGATTAATCCTGACTGATTGCTCCAGTTCCTAATGAGCTCCCTCTCCCACAGTCTCTCCTGGCCCCACTCACCCTTGACTGGGCCTCCCTCTGCATCTGGCTCCTTCTGGCTCTCTTGGGGACTGGCTCCCTTGCCACACTGCTTCATTCTCTCTGTCCTCACTTGCGGTGTCCCCCTGCTTGAGGATCTCTCTCCCCCAGCCTGGTCAGCACACCCTTCCTCTTTCATTCATGCACAGGCATTTTCTCACTCCCCAGATATTGCATTCTCATGCCTGCTCTCTCTCCGCCTTGTACTCTCTGTTCCAGCTCATGCTTTTGATAGCTACAGCTGTCTTTCAGGTATGCGCTCTCTTTTTGGCTCTCTCTCAATCATTCATGTAAAGAACAGAGGAGGGAAGGACAGACTCTGACTAGAGGACTAGGGGATTAACTATTTTTAAGTGTGCGATTCAGTTACGTTAACTACAATCACAATGTGCAACCATCACCACTATTTATTTCCAGAACCTTTTTGATCACCCAAAACAGAAACTCTGTAACCACTGAGCAATAACTCCCCATTCCCCATATCCCCCTGCCTATCCCCTGGAAATCTCTAATCTACTTTCTGTCTCTATGAACACTTCGGTTGTTTCCACCTTTGGCTATTGGGAATAATGTTGCAATAAACATTGGCATATAAGTATCTGTTTAAGTCTTTGCTTTCAATTTTTGGATGTATACGTTGCAGTGAAATTGCTGGATCATATGATGATTCTGTGCTTGGACATGTGAATATCCAGTTGTCCCTGCACCATTTTTGTTGTTGTTGTTATTGTTTAAGTATTTCACATTTAAAAAAATTTTATTTATTTATTTATTTATTTTTAAAAGATGACCGGTAAGGGGATCTCAACCCTTGGCTTGGTGTTGTCAGCACCACGCTCAGCTAGTGGCAAACCGGCCATCCCTATATAGGATCCGAACCTGTGGCCTTGGTGTTATCAGCACCGCACTCTACCGAGTGAGCCACAGGCCAGCCTTAAAAAAATTTTATTTTAAATTGACAAATAATAATGATATATATTTATGGGGTACAATGTTGTATTTTGATATGTTTAGAATGTGGAATGATTAAATAAGGCTAATTAACAAGTACATCACCTCACATACTTAATTTTTGTGTTATGAATATTTAAAATCTACTCTCTCAGCAATTTAAAAATATACATTATTATTTATTATAGTCACAATTCTGTGCAATAGATCACTAAAGGTTATTTCTCTTGTCTAACTGAACCTTGGTACACTCTGATCAGCATCTTCCCTTTACCCATCTACTCCCTCCCCGCAGCCTCTGGTAACCATCATTGTACTGTCTACTTCCATGAGTTCGACTTTTTTAGACTGCACATATAAGTGAGATCATGAAGTATTTATCTTTCTGTACCTGGCTTTTCTCACCTAGCATAATGTCCTCCAGGCTCATCAGCGTTGTCATAAATGATAGGATTTCCCCCTTTTTAAAGGCTGAATAGTATTACACTGTGTATACATACACACACATTTTCTTTATCTGTTCATCTGAGGATGGATGCCTCAGTTGCTTCCACATATTTGCTATTCTGAATAATGCTGCAATGAACATGGGGGTGCAGATATCTCTTTGAAATAGTGATTTCGGGCCGGCCCGGTGGCGCACTGGATAAGTGCGCCGCTTGGGAAGCGCGGCGGCGCTCCCGCCCGAGGGTTTGGATCCCACATACAGACCGGTTCCCGCTCACTGGCTGAGCGAGGCGCGGGAGCAACACCGAGGGTTGCAATCCCGTTGCCGGTCCCCGGTCCGGTCCAGGTGCAACACTGAGGGTTGCGATCCGTTGCCGGACACGGAAAAAGACAAAAGACAAAAAAAAAAAAAAAAAAAATGAAATAGTGATTTCGATTCCTTTGGATATATTCCCAGATGTGGGATTACTGGATCCTATGGTAATTCTATTTTTATTTTTTTGAGGAACCTCCATACTGTTTTCCAAATGGCTGTATTAACTTACATTCCTACCAACAGTGCACCAGAGTTGCCTTTTCTCCACACCCTTGCCAACACTTGTTATATTTTGTCTTTTTGATAACAGCCATTCTAACAGGTATGGGGTGATATCTTATTGTGGTTTCAATTTGTCTCTTCCTGATGATCAGTGATTGTGAGCACTGTTGCACACACATGTTGGCCAGCCATATGTCTTCTTTTAAGAAATGTCTATCTAGGTCCTTTGCCCTTTTATTGCTTGGGTTATTTGTTTTCTTGGTATTGAGTTGTTTGAGTTCCTTATGTATTTTGGATATTAGCCCCTTATCAGATGTATGCTTTGTAA